GAGTCAATCTAGGAAGGGGTTTCTTGTCCCTGGGAGCGGGGAGGCAGGCAGGGTGCCCCCTGCAGTCTCCCAGGACCCCGGGAGCACCAGTGTGGAGCACCCTGTCCATGCAAGAAGTGATCGCTGACATGGTGCACATGGATCAGGGCTTCGTGTATGTGTACTACTGCTGAACACCTGGAACCGCAGTCCGGTTTCACGATTCACAGAGCAAGCGCCCTTGCCCTCCCTGAACAGGGCTTCACCCACGGAAGCCTGGAAGCTCTCTGTCTGGACAGTCCCCACAGTGTGCTTGTGACCGCAGGGATCCTGGCTGCCAGGCCAGGGCGAGAGAGGAAGAGCAGCCTGTGCCCGGGGTGGGTCAGCACGAGAATATAAGCTCAGGTCTGGGAGGAGGTGGAGGCCCAGGGGAACTGGGCTGGGGAACTCCTGGGGTCTGGCAGGGTGCCTAATCCGGCTTTGTTTAGAGTTGCTGGAAGGGGGCAGGGAGGAGAGCCCGTGATGCTTCCAGGCCTGAGGAGGGGGTGCTCCTGGGCGTGTGGGGGCCACAGGCAGCCCCCACCAGAGCAGGGAGAGGAATAGGGAGAGTTGCACCGCACACTTGACATCCCAGCTCTGGCTCTTCCAGAATATTCATCAGTACTTCTTGGACCTCCACCTTTGTATAGAATAAGGACTCTGGCCTCAGCCCTGGCTGGTGGGCACCCTGAGCTGGAGCACCACGGGACCTAGTTGCCTGGCGAGGAGGCGATCATGGAATCAGCATGCCCCCTCGCGGTCCTCCTCTTAGCGCTTGCCCAGCCTGTGCACAGGATTGATCCTGGGGGCGGGGACCTGTGGAGTGTCCAGCCCCTCGCAGGCAGGAGAGTGGGGAGCCGTGGTGCTGGGGCGACAGCCCAGGTGTGCTGCTGGCAGCTGGGCACAGAGATGGGTCTGGGTGGGCTGGCTGTTTGAGGCTCTGTGACCATTTTGAGAGGAACAGTGTTCCTGGGTCCAGCCGTGCTCTGTGCTGGGACCCTGAGGGTTTTTGCCTGCTGGTGATGGGGAGTCGAGTGATCTTCTTTGCTCCAATTTGTAGTCACCTAGCCCCAAGAAAAGGGGTGGGCTTGCATTAGAAGGAGCTTCTGCTCCCCTGAAAATGAGGCAGTGGGACCAGGGTCCCTGATAGCCTCCCGCAGACCCGCTCTGTCATAGGACATTGTTCGGGGCTGTAGCCCAAGCTGACAGGTTGTGCGCCATCATTTCTATCTCGTTCCAGAACATTGTCATCTCCCCCAAAGGTAACCATACCCATAATTTGTCATTCCCCATTTATTCCTCTCCCAGCTCCTGGCAACCACTGGTCTCCCTTCTGTCTCTATGGATTTAACCATTCCAGACATTGCATACACATGGAATCCTTCAATATGTGACCTTTTGCGATTGGCTTCTTTTACTTTGTGTAATGTTCTTGTAGCTCATCCATGTTGTAGCATGGATCAATACTTTATTCCTTTTATTGCCAAAATAATATTCCACTTGTGGATGTACCACTGTTGTTCATCCGTTCACTGCTTGTCACCCATGGACATTTGAATTGTGGCCCCTTTTGGCTCTCACAAACAGCACTGCTGTCAACATTGGTGTACAAGCACTTGAGTACCCATATTCCATTCTTCTGGGTACATACCTAGGAGTAGGGTTGCTGGGTCATATGATAATTCTATGTTTGATGTTTCGAAGCACTGCCAAACTGTTTTCCACAGCTGCTGTTCCATTTTGGATTCCCACCAGCAATGTATGAGGGTTCTAATTTCCTCATTTTATTTTCCATTTTAAAATGATAGCCATCTTAGCAGGAGTGAAGTTTCACTTTATTTTTGTTTGTTTTTGAGCACCTGCTGTATGCCCTGAGACTGTACTCATTTCATCTTCCTGACAGCTCTTTGAGGTAGGTAGAATCATCCCCCTTTTCTAGGTGAGAAAACTGAGTCCCAGAAAAGCTAACGACATATCTGGGGGCACACTGCTGGTGAGGGACAGAGCCAGGATTCCAAATCGGTGTCTCACTCCAAATTCAGTGTCCTTTCCATTGCCCCGCATAGGTTTTATCTCCTTCTCATTGCTATTCTTTTGTTTTTTGGAGGCAAATCTCATCTCCTCTTCTCATACACTGCCTGTTCCTTCCCTCTTAACAGCTTTCTTATCTTTTCCTTCTTATGCTCTAATTTTTCTTCCTTTGTTAAAGCACAGTCCCTCTTTGCATCTCGGCCTGACTTCCATCCACCTCCTTGGCACTCTTCCCCTGGGCCAACCTGTCTCCCTCCTGTCCTGGAAGGCCACAGCTGCTGAGGCAGGGTGAGCCTGGGGAGGGAAGGGCACGGGGAACTCTCCGCCTTCCTCCTCTGTGGGAGAGGAAGACAGAGTGGGCATACTCTGGACTGGGGGCCGTCAGCAAGACCCAGGCATGGTGGACCTCAGGAAGGAGCTGGCATCCTGCTGTGGGACCTCCAGCCTCTAGTCTGGGCCCCAGGGCAGAGGAGAAGAGTGGGCGAGGGGGCCAGGATCTCAGCCCTGGGCCACTCCAGCCCACCACCAGACCCCCAGTGGCTTTCCTGGGAGCGTCTGTTCTCTCATTCACAGGGATTTCACTGCCAGCTTCAACTCGTTTTTCCACTTGTAAGCCAACCGACTCCAAATCGAGGGAGGAGAGACACCAGGCTGCCAAAGTAGAGCCGTGACAGGCGGGGAATTTGCTATTTTACACTTCGCAGTCCTGACTGCTTTTCACACCGTGTTCACATCATGTCTCATTAGCGCCCCAGACTCCCTCCAGATTGGTGGGCAGCCGCCTGCCTCCTTGGGGAGAGCTGTGCTTCTCATTACTGTTCGCTAGGTTGACTGCCTAGCGCAGAGCATCACGCGGCATGCAGCCGGAGCCAGAACTCGGTTCCTGGACATTTCCCCCCAACAGAGCGAATGGAAGAAAAGAACTGAGCCTCTTTGGAAAGCACAGAGGCCGTCTAAGAGGGCTGGGTTTCTTTAACATCAACAGCCATGTGTTCATATAGAACTTAATTTTGTGTAGTTCATATCTATATTGTCATATCAATATTGAGTAAATTTGTTGGTATAATCTCTTAAGTAAACTTCTTTTCCTCACCCCCCAAAGAATAATTGTGCTTGCCTAGATTCAGACAGCACTTATGAGTGCCTTCTGTATGCCTTCTGTGCTCAGTGCCTGCTAGACATCATCTGTGTAACTCTCCCAAAAGGCCCAAGTGGAGGTATGATCACCCTCTATTCATGGCGGGGATGGCCTTTGCCATCACTGCAGGGAACAGTGCAGGAGGGAGGGGTTTTAAGTCAGACTGGGGTGACAGTTCTACCCTGGGACAGACTATTTAAGGGAGACGGTGGAATTGACGTCTCTGCTATACAACATGAGACATTCCGAGGAGCAGGTCCTGAGCTTCTGGCAGGAGGGTGAGAGGGGGACCCTAAGCAAATGTAGGAGGACAGTCCTGACTTCAGGAGAGACTAGGGAATGTGTCACTGTCACCCCTAACATCCCCAATGGACATGTGACCTGGAAAGGCCCTGGAGGAAGCCCCCAGAGGAGCCACCCTCCCCCGGCTCCTGATTTTGGCAGGCTGGTTATTTCAATGGTGTTTTCCAATAACTTTGCACCTCGGCAGAAATTGAGTCCAGTGACTTCTGCCTGTAATTGGCACAGGCTGTTTCCTGTTCCAGTGTGTGTGATGGGGCCACTTGCTTTGTGTTTAACCCCCTCCCCACACATATCCCACCCTGCCCCCTCCATCCCCCCATATAAAAGCCAATGACCTGACTGGCCTCCTGGGATGTGCTGTGTGTAAAAATACATGAGGTTGAGCCATTTCCTGCTGCTTCCGCTGTTGCATGGCGATAAGACGCTGGGGACTCAGCTGTGGACAGAGCTCCCCCACCAGACCATGGGGAAGCTGGCCCTGGGAGAGGGGGGCTCCAGGCCCACCCGCTTGTGTCTGACCTTGCATTTCCCACCTTTCCTATCTTCTGTGACCTCCCCTTCTTTCTTTCCCTGCCCCCATCCCTTCTTAGTCTCTCTCCTCTCCTTCCTTTGTGCCACCTGATGCCCTCTGGAAGCCTGCCTGCCTGCTTCCCTGCTGGTGAGGAAAAGGGGCCATCATCGCCTTCCTGCGTGTTTGCTCCCTTCCAAGCTGGGCACTGGTTCCCGCAGGCCCCCAGACTGGTCCCTACTCTCTTTGGCCCTCGAGTTGTCTCTGGGCTTGAGTCCTCAGGTGGGCAGGGTGGCTGGGGTGTGCCTCTTGCCCCTTGTGCAGGGTGCTTCCACCCTCATGAAGCGGAAGAGGTTGCTGACGACTCCAGAGAGCTGGAAGGTAACAGAGGGGCTGGGAGAGGTGTCAGTAGAGGCGGGGGGGGGGGGGGGGGGGGGCCCTGCCAGACTGCCCCGGGGAAGCCTGGGTGGGGAGGCTCCCTGGCCTGCACGGGCCCAACTGCAGGCTTCCGTCAGCGCCAAGGGAGACACCCACTCACGACAGGAGCCTCATGGGGGAGGTTGAGTCCAGAGGGTCGGTTTCTCTCATCTCTGAGAAATCCACCCTGCGACTCTGCTGAAGCCGCAGGCCTGCTTAGTGCCCGTGGCAGAGCAACAGGAGCTCTGGCCTGGAGCTCTGAGTCTTCATAGTGTGTGTCCCTGAGCAACATGCTTGACCTGGGCCCAGGGAGGTGCTCAGACTGCATTCGAGGGCTGTTGGGGGATCGGGCAGACGGCAGATGCAGGAGCCCTTCCTCTGTGCAGCTGTAAAGAAGTGCCGTCCTCACTGTTATTCTTTTGGACTCTTTCCTTGAACTTTCCTGTTCACCCTGCAACCATTGTCCAAGCAGAGAAACCAAGTCCAGAGGAGGCCAGGGGCGCAGGAGAGAATCCTCTGCACACCCTCCCCCCCCCCATGCGTTCATGATTTACCCATCCTTCCTCTGCCGGCCTGCTTCCCCAGGTTGACAAGGGAGACCTCGTGGCCCTGAGCCTCCCCGGCGGCCCCGGCCATGGGGACACCGATGGCCCCATCAGCCTGGACGTGCCAGACGGGGCCCCAGACCCCCAGCGGACCAAGGCCGCCATCGACCACCTGCACCAGAAGATCCTCAAGATCACTGAGCAGATCAAGATCGAGCAGGAGGCCCGGGATGACAACGTGGCGGAGTACCTGAAGCTGGCCAACAACGCGGACAAACAGCAGGTGTCACGCATCAAGCAGGTATTCGAGAAGAAGAACCAGAAGTCGGCCCAGACCATCGCCCAGCTGCACAAGAAGCTGGAGCACTACCGCCGGCGCCTGAAGGAGATTGAGCAGAACGGGCCCTCGCGGCAGCCCAAGGACGTGCTGCGGGACATGCAGCAGGGGCTGAAGGACGTGGGCGCCAACGTGCGCGCGGGCATCAGCGGCTTTGGGGGTGGCGTGGTGGAGGGCGTCAAGGGCAGCCTCTCAGGCCTCTCGCAGGCCACCCACACCGCCGTGGTGTCCAAGCCCCGGGAGTTTGCCAGCCTCATCCGCAACAAGTTCGGCAGCGCCGACAACATTGCCCACCTGAAGGACCCCCTGGAGGATGGGCCCCCCGAGGAGGCGGCCCGGGCGCTGAGCGGCAGCGCCACGCTCGTGTCGAGCCCCAAGTACGGCAGCGACGACGAGTGCTCAAGCGCCAGTGCCAGTTCGGCAGGGGCGGGCAGCAACTCCGGGGCTGGGCCCGCCGGGGCGCTGGGGAGCCCCAAGTCGAACACACTGTATGGGGCCCCAGGAAACCTGGACACTCTGCTGGAAGAGCTGCGGGAGATCAAGGAGGGACAGTCGCACCTGGAGGACTCGATGGAGGACCTGAAGGCTCAGCTGCAGAGGGACTACACCTACGTGACCCAGTGCCTACAAGAGGAGCGCTACAGGTGGGTGCTGCCCCGTCCCGGGCCCCAGCGGACCCCTGGCGGGAGCGACCACACCACATCTCCACATCAGGGCTGTGGAGGAGCATCTAGAAGGGTCCTGGGCTGGTGAAAGAGGCAGGCAGGGGCCCTGAGAAGCCTTCCTCCAGACTGGTCAGAGCAGCTGGGCTTCCGGGACCCGTGGGAAGCTGCTGCCTGTGTCCGCAGGTGTGAGCAGTCTTACTGGATGGTTATGTGGTCAGTGACAGAAGGGGAAACTGAGGCAGGGATCAGCCCCATGACCTCTCATCTGGAGAGACTGGTGAAGAGCACTGGCTCTGGAGCCAGGTCACTGGGGTTCAGCTCCCAGCTCTCCTATTTACTGTTTACCTTGAGCAAAGCTCTTCCTGCTCAGCATACCTGGCTTCCTCATCTGTGAAGTGTGACTGCCATGAAGCCCTGCTCTCAGGGTTCATGAAGATTACGTGAGTCCAAACCTGTAAAGTCAGGGTATGTCGGTATCTGGTCGGTCTGAACGTCCAGCCGAGGCTCTGGCATTAGCCTGGAATCCAGCCAGAGTCCCCACTCCTACTCAGCCCACTCAGCCCTGTGCTCTGCACCCCTCCGATGGCATGTGGCACTGGCTCTCTGGGATTCTTGGGGATCTTTTCCTCATTTGGCACTTTTCCTTTATATATATATATATATATGAAGAAGGCTTGGAAATTTGAGGGGGAACGCTGCCTGAAAACAACCACCCCCACATAATAGTCATCTTTTGGTACTTGTGCCTTCAGAGCAGGGATCGAGTCTCTATCCCTGTGTCCCTGGTACCCAGGAGAGCGTCTCAGCCCAGGGCTTACTGGCCCAGGTTGAGACAAGTCAATCCCTGACTCCTTCAGTCATGAGCCCTGTGATCTTAGGGAATTTCTTTAATCTCTCTATGCCTCAGTCTTCCCAGCTATAAAATGGGATGACACTGTTACTATCTCATGGGGCCGTGGAGGGCATTCTATGAGATAATGTAGAAAAAGTGCTTCCTTAGCACAGTGCCTACACATGAAAAGTGCTGTATAAATAGTAGCTTTCATTGTTGTTGCTGTTAAAATTGGAACAGGGCTGAACACGTGGGGTGGGTGGTCATTGCTGAGAACATGTGAAATCGATCTTTGGAAGAGAAGGGAGGCTCGGGCAGCCAGGACCGGCGTCATACCTTCTCCTTCCACCAGGTACGAGCGGCTGGAGGAGCAGCTCAATGACCTGACCGAGCTTCACCAGAACGAGATGACCAACCTGAAGCAGGAGCTGGCCAGCATGGAGGAGAAGGTGGCCTACCAGTCCTACGAGAGGGCTCGGGACATCCAGGTACAGCCAGGGCCTGACCGTGGGGAGGGTGACTGTGGTGAGGGCCCGGGTGTGCAGACAGAGCTGACAGCAGCCATAGGAGGAGGGTTTTACCAAGCTGGGAGTTCCGGCTGTTCATTTGGCTGGGGCAGATGGGCACATGGATGAAGGGGGCAGCTTGGGGTGGGGCAGAGATAAGAGTGAGGCAGGCTGGGGGCAGAGTGTGCATGGTGCAAAGACAAGCCAGCTGGTGAGGGCCGCACAGCCCCCCAGCGCTTTGATGGCAGCCTTGCCAACAAATCATTGGAGTCTCCAGGCTCTAGGCTGCCTTGGCAGGTGGCTGGGATAGGGCCAGCAGCTCCCCTTCCCACATGAACAACCGAGACCCCCACGTCCTACTGTCGCCCCACATAGCCGTCATGAAGGGGCTCTGCTCCTGGCTGCAGCAGGCCGGCCTGTGCCCCGCATCGCCCTCCTCTGGAGAGCGGAGCACTCAGCCGGGGCTCACCCTGCCGCCCTGTGCCCGCAGGAGGCCGTGGAGTCCTGCCTGACCCGGGTCACCAAGCTGGAGCTGCAGCAGCAGCAGCAGGTGGTGCAGCTGGAGGGCGTGGAGAACGCCAACGCGCGGGCGCTGCTGGGCAAGCTCATCAACGTGATCCTGGCCCTCATGGCCGTGCTGCTGGTCTTCGTCTCCACCGTCGCCAACTTCATCACGCCCCTCATGAAGACGCGGCTACGCATCGCCAGCACCGCCCTCCTGGTCCTCGTGCTCTTCCTCCTCTGGAAGCACCGGGACTCCCTCGCCTACCTCCTGGAGCAGGGGCTGCTGCCCGGCTGAAGGGCCAGCCCGCCCTCCCCACGCTGCCCCGGCCCCCGGGTGGCCACACTTCTCCAGGAGGGACCCTGGGACTCCGAGGCCCTTGGACTTCATGTGTCTGGGTCGGCCTGTTGCCCAAACTGTCCATTCCAGCAGCTCCTGCCCCCTTCTCTGTTCTTGCTCCTGCCTGATGCCTTCTCCCTGTTGGCCTAAAGGGAGCCTCGAGGGCAGCCCTGGCTGGAGACAGTGGGGACATCTGTGACCAAATGGAGCAGAGAAGGACACCAGGACGGACTCTTTTGATTATTTACAGTTACACAAGGATTTGTCCCAGCCGACTGGGGACGCCATGGGTCAGGAAGGCCACTGAGAATAGCGGCAGGAGAGGGCCATGGTTCTACCCTCCTAGGGAAAAGCCTACCTGGGAGGCCGCTAGGGTTCCCCCCTGTGGAAATGGGCACGAGGGCGAGGGGAGGGGCGCCTGCTGGGCCAGAAAGCAGGCTCAGCCTTACCCCTCTCTCCTCCAGAGCCCTTCGGAGGCTGGGTTCTGGGCTGGGCCTCTCTAGGGTCTGAAGGACCCTCTGGAGGCCAGGTGGAACGTGGCTTTGAACTTGTGTTTTCCCTGTTGTTCTTTCTGCCTGTTCCTGGATCTGCTCTTTTCAGGGAAACAGGTCCCAGGGCCCCTGAGCCTAAGCCCTTAGACGTCTGGGAGCACATTGGGTTCTATTTATTTATTTATTTGGTCCTATGTACCTTACTCCTCCTGAGCTTCAGGGAGAGGGCCCTCCCTGCCCCCCACCCTCTGAAGCCAGGGCTGGTTTTGGCTGTCAGGCCCTCCCCGACCACTTCGCCTCTGAGTAATCCTGGCTGGGAGAACTGGGCCAAAGCCGCCAACCCCAAAGCAGCCCCTCAGCCAGGGCAGGAGGAGTGGAGCCTCTTTTATACATGTGTTTGTTTTGTGCGTGTGTATTTGTGTGGAGGAGGTCGTTGCTTTATTTTTTTAAGGCTCTGGAGTGTTGTGTATGAGTTATCTGTACATCCCAGCCTCCCCGTGGGCACTTCCAAGAAGAGAGGGGGTTTCTCAGAATAAGAGAGAGAAATCCCCTAGAACAGGGGAGGGAAGTGCCTGTCAGCTATTGTGGACCATCCCGAGAAATAAATATCCTCTACATTTTCAAACCATCCTGCCTAGTGTTGGTTGATTAGGCTGGCACTATGGAAACCACCGAGTCTCCCCACACTCAGGCATTCCGGGTAACAGACTGGCCCTCACCCACCGGCTTCCTGAGAAGGAGGGCCACCCTGAGACCTGCTTCCTAGGATCCAACATTGAACAAGGCGTCATCCACTCTTCCCATGCTGCTGTGCGCAGCCAAAGCGCTGGCCTAGGCGACAGGGAGGGGAGATGATGCCCACATCACCCAGCCCCTCAGAAGCACTTTCCAGGAGGAGGGGAATTGGGGGAGCGATTTCCTGAGCTTGGAGACGAGCTGCTGGAGGCCTGGACGGCAGCAGTCATGCCCAGGTGTAGCCATGAGGGGGCAGCAGAGTCCTTACTAAACCTTTTCCCAGGTTCAGTCCCTAAGTGGGGCTTCTGCTGGAGTTACCTTGGCCTTATCAATGCTGCGCCACCAGAAAACAGATCACCTGCTGCTCACCAGGAGCTGGGGTGGTGGCCTTGAGCACCGAGGCCAGGCCCTCAGCATCTACTCTGTGGCTGCGGCTCCCACCGCTGGCAGTTAATGCACTGGATTCCCAGCAGGAACCCTGCAGGGGGGTGGAGAGCACCCCCCCTAAGCCTCCCACTGGGAGGGCCTCTTCCATGATGCTGAAGCATGGGTGTGGGAGAGGGTGTGAGAGAAGCACCCACCCCATAGTCCTGAACTGTAATTAGTACACCTGTGGCTAACTCCCAGCCCTCTCTGGGCCTCAGTTTCCACATCTGCAGTAGGGGATGGAAGCAGTCGCTAACTTCAAGGGGCTCTGACATCCCGTGGTTCTGTGGATCTGAGAAGCCACAAGTAGCAGGTGACCTTATGGGGCTTCTAACAGTGTCATTCCTGGGCCCAGCACCCTCCTTTTCTTCTAACCACACATACACACACACACCTCCCTTGGGGGCCACAGGCTGCTGGGCCAGGAGCCCACATTCCTGGGTCCCAGGTAGGGGGTGGCTGCTCCAGGCTGCAGACATTTCCCACATTCCTCCCCAAGGTCAGGTGCCTTCCCTGCACTGGCTCTTAAGTGTCACTGCCAGCCACAGTCCACACTGAAAGGAAGGGAGGGCAAGGGTCATTCTCAGCTAATCCTGAGGCTGCAAAGAAAACAGTCCAAGAAGAGGGGGGAGATCAGCCTCAGCTCAGAGTCATCTGCAAAGATGGAACAGTGCAGGCACCATGTTGGTTTCATCCTGACAGTGGGAGCATCTAGAAAAGTCCTGCCCCGACTACACAGTGGGGCAGCTGAGAATTCATCTTTGCCTGGAGCTGGGGCTTTGCAGCTCCAAGAGCACTTGGCAGGCAGGTGGCTGGTCTGGACTGGGCATGTTTACCATGCCCATGCAGAGCTGGCACCCACTGCCAGCTGCTTGGAAACAGTGGAACTGCAGCAGGTGCAAGCTGGGCAAACACAGAGGCAGATGGAAGTGACGTGGCCGCCACCACTCCAGGTTACTTGGTGTGATTCAAGATGGGGAGAGAAGGAGCTACAGAGGAGAGGAGAGGAGCTGGAGCTCGGGCACCTGGAGGGATCCTCGTGGCGGGCTTCAGTCCCCCATCAGTGGCAGGGCCCGTAAGTGAAGTCCAGATCCTACTATTAAGAGCACAAGCTTTGGAGCCAGCAGACCTGAGCTCGAATCCCAGCACTTCCACTCACCTTAGACAAGGTTCCAGCTGTCTCAGATCGGTCTCCCCTCTGCCATTGGGAATGCAGATGACCCCTGGGTCACAAGTTTGGGCTGCAGGAGAGGTGACATTCTGCATGTCAGGATTTTAGCACAGGGCCTAGAACATAATATGGGCCCAACTCAAGGCAGTTATTGTTTCTCCTCATTAGATCTGAGGAATGTTCCAGTGTGAAAGAACTGCACAGAGAGTCTAAAGCCTGCAGAAACATACAAGGCTAAGGAGGCTGAGGGAGTCCTGACCTCCGAGCCCTGATGACCCAGGAGAGGCCCCCACAGGTCCCCTTCCCAGGAGCTGAGAGCCTGCTTCTTCCAGAGGCCTTCCCCTAAGTCACAGACAATGCCCCCCCAGTCCCATGGGCTCTGGCCCTAGGTTGAGGGGACTGGCTGGGGTCTGCTTGGCCATGGCCTGCTGCCTCCACCCTGGTCCGATGAGTATGTCCATGAGTGAGGCCTTCTCTCCTCCAGACCGGGGGCCAAGCATGGGCCCAGGAATCAGCATTGAGAGGCCCCGGTTTGAGTCAAGACTCAGCCACTGGCCACCTGTGACACCATGGACCTCAGTTTCCTCATCTGAAACATGGTGATGGTGAGCTAGCCAGGTGGCAAGGTTTTTGTGAGGCTCAGAGGAGCTGTTGGATGTGGGTGCCTACTGTAGGCTGCCCCCAGCTCGCCTCTAGGTGCGATACCTGTTAGGATGCTGCTGAGCCATCCCCCTGGGGAGGGCTCTGACCTGGATAGGGCTTGAGCAAGTGGCTGGCATGACCTTTCAGCCTGAGGGTTGGAGCCAACCACACGGAGGTGGAAGGAGGAAGCTCGGCTGGCCAGGCATGCTGGGGCAGCATGTGGGGAGGGAGGGGAGGCTGGGACTTGCACCAGCACATCCAGACCTGCCAGTGGGTCGTGAGTCACCCAGCCAGCCAGATGGGCAGTCCAGGCAGTGATGGCAGCACAGCCTCCCACGCTCAGGTCCCCCCAGAGCACCCTCCCTCTCTGGCAGCTGACCCCTGCCTTTGGTTCCCGTGTGCTCCCAAGGCCAACAGTCCAGATGAGGTGTCCTGGGCCCAGTGGTGCTGGACAGGCCACTTCCACCATGCCCCTGCCTCCAGGCAGCCACCCATCAAGTTGACTGTGCTTCCAAAAAGCACCCGGAGGCCATTCCCCAAGTTCCGGGTGCCTGGGCTCCGCTGCCCACAAGCCCCAGCCTAAACGCTCTCTGTCGCCTTGCTTTGGTCAATCTTGCTGTTTTGGCTTCCTGGAGGTAAGCCTGAAGTGCGTGCTTTGGAAAGATCTGGGGGTCCCCCTGGTTGGTCTGGGGGCTCCGCTCTCTGGTCTCCTACAGGAAGGCTGAGTTTTCTTGTTACCTTTTTTCTGAGTTCTAGGTACAAAACCTACTTTTACCTGGAGTTGGGTCCCCTTGTTTTTCTAGGTGAAGTCAGCCCCAAGCAACCAGTGAGGAGGAGAGCGTTTCCCACGAAACTGGTCCTTAAATGCACTCATTGCAAGAGACAAGTCACCACCACAGACCTGCTAAGTCCCTGCAGCTGGTCCCCCACCTGCTCATCTTCTCAGCCAGGTGGGGCCAGGCCAGGCCAAGGGTGGGGAGACCTGAGAGACAGCAACATGGCTGCTGAGGAGGGAGGGGCCAAGGGCAGGTCCCATTCCTTCCGCCCTGTCCCCCTCTGCTGGTCCCGGAGCTCTCGTCAGTTTGGCAGCCTAGAGTCCAGGTGTGTGACCCCGAAACCACCCAACTTTAGGTTTAATTAAATTCAAGAAACACGGTTTAGAGCACCTGCTCTGTGCTAGGCATTGGGGACACAAAGCAAAGCAACACACGGACCACGCCTTCGTGGAGCTCACAGACTAGGGGACACACACGCTTCTCCGATACGGAGGCAGGCAGAGAGAAAGGCTGCAAGAGAGGCTGGGGTAGGGGGACCGGGGAGGGAGAGCGTCACGCTGATGGGAGCTGGGCAGGTCTCAGGGAGCGCTGCAGGATAGGGGAGAGGGGAGGATGGATTTTGGGGGTCCTGCGTTTACCAATGGGATAGAAGGCATCATTCCATGGCGTACGGAGCTATATGGTCCTTTCCGGCAGCCGTACTGCCCACCCACACCCCAGAGGGCAGGACTCCTGGGGAAGGGGCTTTTAAGTCCACCCCAGTGAGGAAGAGCGGGAATGAGGACATCTTCAGGAAGGGAAGGAAACCCCCCCCCGAGAACTTCTAGGAGGAGTTGTTTGGACTTGCAAAGCAAAAGGACAACTTGGGGAGAGGAGGAAAAGGAAGAGCATCCCCTCAGAAAGAACTAGAACAATCTGGGATTCCAGGGACTTGGGGACTAACACTCGGCTATGCTGTGTGACATGGAGCAGGTCCTGTAACCTCTCTGAGCCTCTGTCCCCATCTCCACACAAAAGGAGAACTTAGGATGGAGAGCTTGACATGGCTGATGAGGCTCTGGGAAGATCCAGGCTGTCTCGGCATGAATCTGACACGAGTGGAGGATCCCTGTGCGAGGGGAGGCCTGACTTAGGTGAGGTCTGTGAGCAGCAAGACCTGCCCAGAAAGGAGTTGGGGACCAACGAGAGGTCTGGGACCCTGTTCTAGCCCCTGAGGGACCTTCACTGCTGAATGCCCAGGCTGGGGGCAGCGGGGAGCCCAGGTGCCTGGGCGTGCATGAGCAGAGCAGGCCTGGCCTCCCTCTCACCATCCTCTGGTGGGGTGGGGCTAAAGATGAAAGAGACACAGGTTCTCTTCTCTGCTAGGCAGCTATAAGTAGATTAAAAAGTAGGCAGCTTCCATGCACAGCCATCTACTCAGGGATGATTTGAGGGTGTGCAAGGGCCCCACCCCAGCCCAAAGTCATGGCAATTTCAATCCCTTTTTCTGTCTAGGATCTTACACCTAACAGATGATTTTGTGTGCACTGATTCACTTTATCTTCACTGCAACCCTAGAAGGAGGCTAGAGAGGGGTTATTAGACCCTATTTTATAGGTGAGCAAACTGGGTCTCAGAAAGATGGGGGGAACTTACTCATGGACACAGCTGGTGAACAGCAGACCCAGGACAAACCCAGGCTTGCTAGCAAGGCCACTGCCCATAACTGAACCCTGATAGCCACAGTGAGGTTAAGCATTGCTTCATATACAAATGCAGATGCTTCTTTGGAGGGGTAAAACCTGAAGCCATTCACATCTTAGTATGAATTAGTTTATCCCATTGAAGACTTTCTCTGCTCTGCCACAGAAAGAAAAGGTTAGGGTTTGGGGCTGGGGA